ACGTTCACAGCTGGTGATGACCCCCAAAGTAACGGCCATTGTGAGGCCGAGGTGAACCAACTCAAAAGGCGTACCAGGCTGTTGCTTCACATGGCAGGTCAGGACAACACCCATTGGCCACAGGCCATGCGATTTGCCACTGAGGAACGACTAAGGCAACAGATGGAGCTCCTTGGTTCCCCTGTTCAAAAAATGTTGCCGTACAATTCCCTGGTTTTGGTCAAAAGAAAAAGGTGGCATGACAAAGGGAATTTGTTGGCTCAACCTTTTGTTGAAACACGTTTGTTGTGTCCAAGCCCTGACATGACTTCAGGTTGGCTTGTCCGAACGACTAAGGACCAACATGTTTTGCATGCTCGTGAGGCCATACTGCCAGATCCACTGGGCGATCAAGCCCAACTGCAACTCGAAGAAGACCTGCGGCCGGGCAAACCTCACTTGCGTCTTTGGCATAAGCAGCCACCTCCAGGACCAGCACCCATGAAACTGAAGCCACTGCCGCGATTGGATCGCGGGGGGGAGTCCTCTTTGGTTTTGGATTCTCAACTTGAAAAAATCCCTGAAAATGAACCCCGAAATGAAGTTGTTCTTGAGGTTGATGGTGAACATGGGGATAATGGGGGTGAAATGTTGGGAATTTTTGATGAAATCGACCAAGAAAACCTTAGGGAGGCACCACGGTTTGTCAAAGGGTTGAACACCAATGCTGGGTCCGGGGGAGACGGTAACCCAAAAAACCCTGAAAATTTTGGTTTGGGGTCGAAATCAAGGGTTGTTGCCAAGTTGGAATCTTTGGATTGTTTGGAAAAATGTTTGGGTTGGAAACATCAAACCATTTCCAGTTCATTACAAGACCTGTTGGATGTTGTTCCCACCACGAAATCTCTTGGGAAGTTTGTGGGGCTGATATCCAATGGCTTCAAGGGGAAAAAGAACGGTTGGAAAATGACTTGTTCCTGGTCCGTGATGCCCAAAATAAACGGGTTATTAAAATGTGTGGCCTTCAAACTGATGATGTCATGGCCGTGAATCCGGGGGAGGTCTTGCAAACAACCACAATCCCTTTGAATGAAGTCCGAAATGAACTTGGGGAATGGAAAGATGCGATGATGAAAGAATACAACAGTTTGGTCCATGAAACTAAGGCCATTGAACCTGTTGACCTTTCCATGTTGAACCAAGAAGCGGTTGAGTTTGTCCCTGGAAAACTTGTGACTGTTCGAAAAGCGGGTCCAAATGGTGGTAAAAAGAAATGTAGGGCAGTAGTTTGTGGAAACCTGCTGCAAAGTGACTTGGATCCAGCTCCGGGCAATCTCTACGCTTCTGGCGCTGATGGCATTCTGATCAGAGCTACACTGGCTCACTCCGTGCAGATGGGATGGGGCGCTGGCATTACCGACATTCGCACAGCATTTCTCCTTGCTCCTCGGCCGAAACCTCAAGATGCCCGGGAGGTGATTGTTGTGCCCCCAAAAATACTTGTGGAAGCCAAAGTTTGCAGCCCTTCTGAACGGTGGAGAGTTCATAACGCTTTGTATGGGTTCACTTCAAGCCCCGCACATTGGGCGGTGCACAGGGATCAGGTCATGAGTGGGTTCAAATGGAAGATGGATGGTTGTGACTTTTCCCTCAAAAGAACCGAAGAAGGGAACTTGTGGAAAATCATGAAACATGGTCATGGGGATGCCGAACCAACATGTGAAGGTCATGTTATTGTTTATGTTGACGACATCATGGCTCTTGCAAATGACAATGTTCGAAACTCCTTTTTTGACCGGTTGAAAAAAGAATGGAAGTGTTCCGATGTCGAAACTGTTGACAAAAATGAATGGATCCGGTTTTGTGGTTTTGAGTTGAAAAGACATGATGATGGGGTGAGTCTGATGGTAGGACAAAAGTCTTACACTGCTGAGTTGTTGAAACGTCATGAACATGTTTCCCCAAAGTCATGCCCCATGCCAAAACTGGACAGTTCAGAAACGGATGAAACGGATATCACAACACCTGATGTCCGTGCAGCCCAAGCAATCACAGGTGAACTGCTTTGGCTTTCTGTGAGAAGTAGGCCTGACATAGCCTATGCTGTAAGTGTCATGGGAAGGAATGTTACTAGAAAACCAAGGTGGGTCCAACAGTTGGGACAACACGTGCTAGGGTTTTTGTGTAACACCCCAGAAACTTGCCTCCTGTACCGCCCTTGCAACAAGGACCACAGTGCACATGGCACACTTCAGGTACCAAGGCATGAGAAGCTCATTGAGGCCTTCGCCGATATCAGCTTCGCTCCTCAAGGTGACCGCAGTCACCAGGGCATCATTCTATGTGCTGCAGGATCTCCAATTCAGTGGGAGGCAACTCGGCAGGCATTTCACACCATGAGCACAGCGGAATCCGAATTGGTTGGATACTGCGAAGCCATAACAATGTTGAAATCTGCTGAGGCCCTATTGAAGGTTATCCATGGTTCATGCAACATGGGTGATGGTCTTGATGGGTTTGAAAAGGTTATTTATGGGGACAATTCCAGTGCACTTAGCATACTTATGAACCCTGATGGTGGATGGAGAACACGCCATTTGAGGCTTCGTTCGTCTTGCTTGCGTGAGTTGTTGAAAAGTGACCCCCAAACATGGAAAGTCAGACACCAAAGGGGAGTTGACCTTCCCGCTGACATGCTCACCAAACCAATCACGTTGTTGAGGGATTGGGTTAAGTTCTGGCATTTCCTTGGGTTTCATGTTGATGCGTCAATCCCCAAATATGACCCCGAAAACACACCTCAAAAAACCTCCAAAGGGTCTTCCAAGACAACCGCCACTTCAGGACCTGATGAAACTAAGGGATCTGATGATGTGGTGACCAAGGTGAAGGTGATCGTGGCTATGGCTGCGCTGGCTGTGGCGTCTTCAGCAGCTGGGCGAGCTGATGTGCGGCTGGCCTGTGCTACTGCTGCTGCTGCATGCGCTGGATGGCTGGCTTGCAACTGGCACCCTGCGCCTTCATCGGAGGATCGATCCAAAGAGATCTGTTTAGACGGGAGGGAGGTGAAAAAACCATCAAGAGCCATTGGCCTTAAAAGTGAAAAAGATGCCAGGGGAGATGAACCGGCCAAAGAAAAACCTCCAAGGGAAAATGAACCTGGAGGCATAAACCCTCAAATAAAAACCAAAAAATGTGTGAGATCTCCAAGGGAAGATGAACCTGGAGAAAACAGTTTTGGGAAGGTTTGGGATGAACCCCTCAAAAACCAATTTTGGGCTCATCGAGCCTATGAAAGTCAGAGGGATTTTTGGGATAGTAACCCCGAAGAAGGTCCCGTTTTTGGGGATTTTGTGGCAGGAAACAGCTGTGGCATGGCGCACAACAGTTTTGAGTCCGTTGGTGGTGACTCTGAAAATGCTGAACTGTTGCAGCCACTGTTGGCTGATACTTACCACTGCCCTACGGGCTGCCCAAAAGTTCCGGCCGTGCGACTTGCTGCCATGGCCCCTAAGATGTCCAAACCTGCGCCGCCGCTGCCGCCGCAAGAGCCGGGCTTTGCTGCTCCAAAGGCTGCTCCTAAGCCTGCAGCTGTGCGACGCAAAGCGCCGCCGATGATGCTGCAATGCGCTGCGGCGATGGGTGCACCTTCAAGCTCCTCTGAAATAAGGGGACCCTACATCGGCGCTTTGCCGAAGTTTCCTCCAGCCCGTCGAGATGCAGAAATGGCTAAAAAGGCTGCTGGTGGAACCATGCTGGACGATATGCCAAGGCATGGACCCTGGCTGGATAGTCGGTACCTCCAGCCGAACACCACAGGAAAAAAGGACTGTTGGTCCGTTGCGAAGTGCGGTGAGGAAATCTTCTTGGTCAAAGTACACAAGTCACCGAGGAGACAGAGGTTTCATCCACTGCACCGTTCGGCACCAATTGAAGCCCAGTTCTTGACTGGTGAAAGGGTCACAAAGGCCTTTTTTGTGAATCCTGCTGATGGAGTGGGGTTCTTGGTTGCTGACCGATGGGACGATCCGGTCGTCAGAGCCGAGTCACGATGGATCGGCTACACCTTCCTGACAATGAGGCGGGAAGTCATGGAAAAGATGAACCTGAGCATCCAGCTGGAGCCGGCTGCAACTGCAGAAGACCCTCCATGGCCCCAGACTGAGGTGCCCAAAGATGATGACCTAGACGTGCACGTGGGACAGCACTATGAAATGGAGACGCCACGACGTCACCGACCACAACAAGCTCCTGGTTTGATGGTTGGACGCTTGTACCTGGATGGTTGTTTGGCCAGCAGTCAGAGCGGAACCGTGTCAAGTGGTGGTTCCTCTGAGCTGCGGCTGGTTCCCCTCTTGGAGCCGACCAGCCAACACAACAAGACCTCTGGAGCACCCACGGTAGGATATAGCCGTGGTGGTGTGATCCAACGTGGGATCGCTGCTATGCCCTCCTCTACAGGTTCAGACCTGGGTTCCATGCCGAAGTCCTACGTCCCTCTGACCGTGGAATGGGACGTCACCAACACCTTGAGCTCAGACTCTAGCCAAAGGGTTCCTGACTCCTTCGTCTCCCATGTCGAAGAGTGGTCTTTGTTGACCGACCCTGAGTCGGATGATGCCAATGTGAATGAGGAGGAGCCCTGAAAACTATGAAGACTTGAAGAAGCGCTGCTGAGAGCCGGGCTACGAAAGCCATTTTGGCTGAACTTTTGATGTTCCGCAGCAAGCTGCGGGGGGAGTGCGATTCATGAAGCATTCCACCAGCTGCTGTGGATTTTAAAACTTAGAAGTTGACATGTGGTGGCATGCACCAAACATAGCATGGCCACTGCGCAAGGATTACATGTGACTGCCATTGCAAAATGGCTCAAGCCAACGAAAGTTGGCACAAAGGCGAGACTGAAAAAGTCTTGCTTAGCAGCTGCTGCTTCAGCTGTTGATCCACGTTTATAAACCACATAAACCCATTATAAACCACATTGTATCCTCCCATAAACCCTCCTGAATCAAGTTATCTGCCTATGGACTCCGACACCCCTGGGTCAGCCAACGATGATCCACCGGCGGCGCTTTCCGAGGCTTCGGACTCCTCGAGCTGCTCGCTGCGAGCACTCGGGGGATCGGTGAATGACCGGGGTGAAAACACGGCTGAGCTATCTATCTATCTATCTATCTATATATATATATACAAGTATTATATATATATACACATATTTTATTGTATATCATAAATAAATATAGGAAAAAGTCATCCTTGTCTTCGTGTGAATCTCCCGAAAATCCAGAAACAAAAAGGTCAAGTAGATTGAGACTTAGAGTAAACAAATCCTCCAAGTTTCAAAATTCCGGGTCGACTGTTGGCATTTTGCTCGGGACTGAAAAGGTCTTCTTCTGCTGGTGGATTTGGTTTAATAGTTCTCTATTCACTTAAAACCCTTGAGCCGCAACGATTGGGTAGATTAGTTGGGGTTGTGCGGGGTACCCAAGGCTTAATGGGATAAATCCAACTTGGCGACTGGGATGATCTTCGTGTGCAACATTAGGGGGAAAGAGGTTGTTACACAAAACCATAGATTTTCCCATTTTTTAATGGGATTTTCTTGTAAATTTTCCCTTAAGCCAACCCATTGCTATACATCTGTACGAGTGAAAGTGACCTGTGAACCACAAAACACGCCTGGACACCGGCAGGGTCTCATCCAACTCGGACAACTCTTTCAGGGCTTCCATGGTGTCGTTCAGCCTGAAACTTCGAGAAGAACGGGATATGATATACAGTTACAGTAAGCAACAACCAAAATTGGGACTTGTTTGCAGCCAAAACTACGGGATTTTTGACGCCAAACAAGTGGGAATACAAGTCATATTTCATGCATTTTTCTCCATATTTCATGCAAAAAGGGAGACGGATCGAATTGTTTGAACTGCCAAAATGGTTTTGAACGAATCATCTCATGTAGTGAAGAGGCTCGCGCAGAATACCCCCGTGCCATCGGGAACCCCAAAAATCTTCAGCTCACCTCATGTGTCCATTTCCAATCATTGGTTTGCCCAAAAGTGAAACCCCAAAATTGTTATCTATGAATTAGGAAAATGACGCAAAATCATGATTACCCACTGGATTTTGGTGTTTTCTCATAATTTTGGGACAAGCCCAAGTAAGCTTCGATAGTTTGCAAATGGGCACTGTGGTAACCCATGGGATGCCAGTCATAGGGGTTGATGATGCAGCTCCCAACAAGTGTGCAAAATATTACATTACCTCAAGAATGGCAAGTGGTTAACATCACCCATCAATATGACCACTTATTACCTCGAAACTACTGTGTCAAAAGCTGGTTGCACAGCCGATAGATAATCCACATAGAATCCATCGATAATCTATAGATAACCTCCGTCACATAGAACCCATGATAGATAGCCCATAGCAACTACATCCCTTTGCCCATAACTGGTTGATATTCCATGTATATATATATATATACATATATATATATAACACTACCTTATTCATCCTGGTTTGATATGGTCCCATCAAAAGCCATGCAACAACAGGTCCCGCATCTCCCATCCCTCCAGGGATTTCCCATCCCTTTCCGCCTCTGCGACCGCAGCAGGCCGCTCACATCCGCCGTGACGTCCGCCAGGTCGTCCTCGTCCTGGTCGAGATCGTCGGAAGCGTCTTCCAGGTCCTCGTCGAAGAGATTCTCCTGGCGATGCCAATGGCCAAGATAAATTCACCATGTATATTCCATGATATCCCATCATATCTATATCTATATCTGTATCTATATATATATATATATCTTCTACACTTTCTGTGTGTGTGTTGTATATCCTGGGTGAAACAAATGGCCATTGCACCCCGCCTGGTCGCTCTCGGTACGGCTCCAGCGAAAATCGAGACCGCTCTCGTTGCTGTAACTTGGCTGAGAGCTACCTTGGTGATGCCACGATGCGGCTGTCAAAGGAAGTACCATCTGGTTATGACTAACATAGCCATGGGAAATCCCAACCATAAATGGAGGTTTATAGCTGGGAAAATCATCTATAAATGGGCCATTTTCCATGGCTATGTTAAATAACCAGAGGGTAACCCATAATGTTCTCCTTTAAGTGATGTTTAGGGGTTGTAACATGTTGGAACCAGTGTTTCGCTGTTCGTCTCGTTTCTCACTATTAGCTGCTTTCGTAATTCAAGACTTCAGCAAAAGACATTGAGGGTACAACCGCATACGATGTAACCAACTTCACCAACAACGCTTTGGATACAACCATCAATGTGAGGAGTTAATCAATAAGAATGGGTTGGGATTGAACAAACTACAAATGAGAGTATAAGCCCACCATTGCCAGATTTGCTTCACCATCTTGGAATCAGCAAAAAAAGTGTTTGAAACACAAAATGATCATAAACTATAGATGTGTTTCCCAAATTATCCCAATTGCAGCCTAACTTATCCCAAATTCTGTCGCGGCCAGTAATTCACCCGGCAATCAGCCGCCACCTTCAAATGTCATGGCGTAGCTCTCCTGGCTGCTATAGGCAACCTGCAGGATGATGTCCGAATTTTGGTAGGACTTTACTGTTCGAGTCTGTTTTGGGGGGGCTTACTGTGGTTCAGACACATATCGATCTGATCCGTCTCCTCAATCCCTTTGGATGACTTACTGGTGCTTAGTAGGGAATGAGGGAATGATCCATAATCACTAGTAATCATCATCCCATACCCCCATTCCCATCCATTCCCTACTAAGCACCAGTAAGTTGTATACAAATCTCAATCTGCGGATGGGATATTGTCCATTCGAAGATGGATGTTTTCACCAACTTGGGATACAACCCTGCCTGAATATGAGTTCGTACACTCAATGACCTTCAAAAAAATGTTTGGTTTCGGAAACCCCAAAAGTTGATTAAAATGGTTGTTTCGCAAAATTACAGTACAGCCCTGTATTTCCATGAAACATTCATAGTTTCCAGTTGTTCCCAAAAAAATCCACCCCAACGACGCCTCCAAATGTTGGATCTCCTCCTCGCCTTCCTCGCCTTCCTCGCCTTCCTGATGCTCGCCATCCTGGCCTCTGGGACATCAATTGGTGTACTTTCTGGTTATTTAACAGTTGGCGAACTGGAAGCCATGGCCCATTTAGTTCGATAACTGATGATGATTTACCTCTTAAACATTCCATGAATCCAAACTATTTATGATGATTTATCATGTATCCATCAAAATGGTGTAACTCCAACGAAACTAGGCAATTTCACCACCTAAAAAGCAACAATAACAAGGCCTTGACCACCTAAGGCCTTCCTGGTGAAACCATCATGAGTTGGGATGACTTTGCAAGAAGGTCCAGGGCCTTGTTTTTCAACAAAGGTGGCGTAGGAATGGAAGGAGCTCGTTGAAGCTGACTTCAGTGCACCTTCGTTGCAACTGGTGAACGGTGATTTCACTGGCAGAAAACCTCACAGAAAAACCCAAGAACCACTGTACGGATCGAAGCCACGTGAATCATGACGGTGACTCCTGAATTTCAAGTCTTCATCATGTCCCTATCCAAAAAATCTGCCTGCGGCCGCAATGTTGATCCTGAAGTCTGGCTTAAAATATGGTTTGAATCATCCAAACTCGCCAACCGTTGCGCAAGGCACTCTGCTGTGCTTCCACGGGTGGCACCGGCACATCCTCCTGAAACTGGATGAATGGGGGATCCACTGTTTTCCAGTGGTGATTTACCCTCTGGTTATGTCAAAATAGCCATGGACAATCATCATTTTGAACAGGTAAACCATCTATAAATGGGCCATTTTCCATGGGAAAATCACCATGTTTAATGGGAAAATTCAACTATAAATCATCAATTTTTCCATAGCTATGTTAGTTTACCAGAGGGTACAATGTCAGTGGTTGATTTTTTAGGGAGAATATTGGAAATTCCGCCACCTGTTGATGGCGTTTCAAACCTTAGAAGGAAAAAACCAAAGAGCTGGATCAAAGATCAAAGAGACCCATCAAATTCAATGAAAATCGTCAGGAAATCAACAAGAAGTATATGATATCACCGCGCAACTACCCAAAAAAAAACATTCAACTTCATCAAAAATCCATAGAAACTCATCCAAAATCTCCAGGAAATCATCCAAAAATCTGCAGAAAATCCCCTAAAACTCGGGTCCTTGGCTTCCTCACGTCGCGCCAAAGCCCTCTGTGGCAGCACCACGCTGCGACGGGTCCTGGGAGCATCAATGGTTGAATTGTGATTGTTCGACAGTTAGACACCAATTTTACAATGTTTGGAATAGTGATTCTTAAAGACGTACAATCAATCGATTTTCTCAGAAAAGTGGATTTGAGCATCCAGGAAATGTACATCCCATGATCTTTAGCCAGCTCCAGAACCATCCAAGCAGGCGATTCATATGGTTTTTATACTATTTACTAAGTGGGATGCACATCCAAGTAGCTAGTTAGCTTGATTGCTGCCAAGTGCTGCTTGCACTGGGGAATCAGCGTGCTTCTGCAAAAGGGGATCATGAGCACCAACGCGTTAAGGGTTGCTTGACAAGACAAGTGATTCTCCTGCGATCTGTGTTCTAGGCTGGCGTAATTTGCGTCTTTGATCAGTCTATTTATGCATGTTTTCTATTTGGGGGTTTCCATAAATGGGGGTACCCTCAAATCATCCATTTCAATAGGATTTTCCATGAAATAAACCATCCAGCTATTAGGTACCCCTATCACTATGGAAACCTCCATTTGTTTAAAGCACCTTTTGTTCGAGGGTTTGACCCGTCAAGCATCATCCGTCCAAAATGGGGTTCAAAAACAGGTCCCAGGTAGTCGAAGACTTGGGGGCCAGGTTTTTCTATAGATTCAATATCCACGATACAAGTTCATCAAAAAAAAATATCCGTCTTATAAACATTGAATACCCACATGAGAATGACGGCCACAATGAGGAAAATTATTCTTGTATTGCTAGGAAAAACTATGCATCATGATGACCACTCCGATACCCCGCGGTCATTAAATCCAAGCTCTCCAATGACAATCCATCATGGATGTGTCTGAAAATAGGGAACCCCAAATTCCAATGGTTTATCATAATATTTCCATATATTTCCTATGGAAAATGTTGCAGGTATGCCCCTTTTTAAGACACACCCATATCAAGTATGCAGAACAAAACTGGTGATCTGGAGACAGTGAAAGTTGTTTTTCCCCATTAAAACTGGGATGTTCCAGCTAGCCAAATAAAACTACCAGAAGTGTTCACAATTTTTCTGGGATTCATCCACTCACTGGCATGTGGCACCCTAACCGTTCCAGTTTCCAGGTTCCCTGTAGTCCTTTCTGGCACTGTGGCCAAAATGGGAGACAGCACCTGCGGACTGTCGTCCCTTTAGACTGGTTGAGAACGGAATTCCGTTCATGGAGATATTGATGAGCCCCAAATAATATTGGTTTATAACCCCTTACAAATCATCAGCCAACCAGGTTTTTGAACACTGCTCAAGTGATCAATATTCCTCAAAGCCTTGCGGGATGTACGAACATTCACTTGTCACCACCTGACCAACAGCAATGGCTAGACATCCCTAGTTTCTTCGATTACATTCCGGTTGGTCCACATCATTCCAAACTAAATCACGTATGCGTGATGTTTTCTAGGCAAACATCCCGAAATATACGTATGTATATATATATGTGTGTGTGTGTGTATTTGTAAATATTATACATATATATATATATACATATACTATCCATTTATTTATGCATTTATTTTTCATTTATTTATCTATCTATTTATTTATTTTTTATTTGAATATATATATATATAAGTCTATATTAAATACATACAGATATATATATATATACATATAAACATGTTCAGCGCCCCCCAGAATGTGAATGACATTGGTTTGTGAGGTGTGTGTGTGTGTGTTTGAACACCTGCAATGAAACTTTCACTAAAACAAGCTGAAATGACATTGCTGTGCTGATCCGTAACATGTCACATTGTGTCACATGACACGCAAACTCTATGTTGAAACCGTCACTCGACTGGTAATCAACTGGGTCTCTGACTTCGTGAAGGCGTAAAGCCCCACGGCAATGATACATGTAAATGTTGCTCACTTGAGCCCTCGAAGAACATATGGACAAAGATTTGTTGCTCATTTGAGCAATATGACAATTTGTTCTCCAACCATGTTATGTGACATGAATATGAAATGCTGATTTCCATTAGATGGGGATCTGGGGGGTATGGAGGAGTTGTTGTTTGGTGACACGGTTGAATTCTGGGAACTAGATTCGTCTAGGTATTGGGAACTTGATGTGACTCCACCGTCAGTTGAACCTCTCCAGCACATGGAAAATCCCGAAGAAATTGTCATGATGGCAACAGATATGCGGAAGAAAAGGGTTGAAGTAAGTTTGAAAGAGCTTGGTGAGGAGGATCAACTGCGATTTGTGGCGGCAAAGGACAAACAGGGCAAAGCATGGCTTCATCACCCAACTGTACAGAAAGTGGCCAAAGGCCGCGTCCCCGATCATGCTGTGATGAGATGTAGGTGGCTTTTAACCTGGAAAGGGGCAAATGGGGATGAGCCTCCTGTTGAGCTGGCATTAAATGGAAAGAAGGCTAAGGCCAGGTTGGTTGTGATCGGTTTTGAGGACCCGGATTTGAGCACGATTTCAAATGACAGTCCAACCTTAACCAAGGATGGCAGGCAAGTTGTGTTACAACAAGTCAGCAGCCATCAGTGGCCCCTCATCTCTTTTGACATCAGCACCGCATTTCTGCACGGAAAAGGGGATGGCAGAAATTTGGGTATACACCCACCACCAGACATTCGAGAAGCATTAGGCAGTTAGGCATGTCTTCCTCAGGCCAATGTGCATTAAATGGAGGTGCATATGGAAGGATAGACGCACCCTATCTCTGGTATTGTGAGTTCAGGGATGAGCTTTTGAGTCAGGGTTGTCGACAGTGTCCTTTGGATCCTTGTTTTTCACTTTTGGCAAGGCTACTGAGGAAGGGAAGTACGTGCCTCTAGGATGCATAGGAGTTCATGTTGACGACGGCATCGGCCGGGGAACCCCTGAATTCATGGACATGCTCAAGAGGCCCCGTTACCATCTACCTCAAAACCAGTAATCTCGCGCTCGGGTTCAGCGCATGATGGAGAAGATCCCGAATCTGGAGGTGTTTCACCAGATTCCCGATCATGTTCCTCTGCATTTGGTGACTCTGGGGGAAGTTCTTCTGACTCCAAGTCAAAGAAATCGTGCGCATGGATCCTTTGAATCCACGTCTTGACCGGCAGCATGGCCTCTTCCGAGTCTTTTACCTGTTTCTATTCTCTCAAGGACGCCGATCTCAATTGCTCAGGGCTTGCCCTCACTGGTTGATTAGCATGAACCAACCACACAACGTTTCTACTTTCAACCTGAATGACTCGGGCTGGCCCATACCACCTGCCTCGCTCACGTCTCAGATTGCCACCCTTGCGACGCCAGTATAGCACCCAGTCGCCTTCCTCAAACTGGTCACGAATTGGCCGAGTTCGTCTCAGCAAAGCACGTCTCAAGCTGCTGCAGTTGTCCACTTCGATGAAAGCCTGTCTCGCCAAGCATCGTCTCTGCAGAGACATCCTAAACTGATCCGTTTCAGATGATCCATCCTCAGCTAAGACATGACTACTTTGAGACGCATCGGCAGTTATGGAAGCTGGCAACCGCCTGCAGGAAACCCCAAGAACAGCCTGTTCCGGTGCATACCCCTTTACCCTCGATAACGTGTTCTTTGCACAAACAGCCTGAATAAGATGTTCCCTAAAAGCTTCAGGGGAGTCAATTGGGATTTCATGATCCATGCGATGCAGCATACGTTTGATGATTGACCCATGGACTTCTGTCCGTCCCAGCTGCCAATGGCTGTCCCGGGCTGTCACTCTTGGTTTGATCCCATTTTCCTGAAGTTTCCTCAAAAACTCTTCGGAGACATATTCGGTAGCTGGGTCAAAGTACATTTCCCCTGGTGGACCAGCCCAGCTCAACCACGACATCTCAAACGCCGCAAACTGAGCTGCAGAGGTTTCACTGCATGGACGTGCTTGATGGAACAGTGTTCCTTCATCCAAAAAATGCACAAAGGGATACTTGACACCATTTTTCCCTGTCCAATAGGCTACATCCATCCCCACTACTTCATTAAAACCAATGTTCTCATGAATCGATGAGGGCCTGGTTGATTGAAAACCCCTTTGTGATTCCAAACAAGCATCACACTGGAAGTCCATGGCACCAAAAACAATTTGGGGCTGGCATGTGTGTTTTGAAGAAACCGAGCAAAGCGCGCAGGATCGGGATGTCCCATCTTGTGATGTACACTTTGGATCCAGGCTTGATCCTCCTTTCCCAAAACCGAAAATCCCGGACCATGTTTGGGAACACTCTTTGCGGGGTATCCTCGTTCCATTTCTTTCGGTTCCTCGAGATTTGGCGGTTCTTTTGACACGCCCTCATGCCCGGCATCCTGCTGACTGAACTGCTGCATTTCCTTTGCAAAATCGTGGACACTCGACTCCGAAGACTCTGCCATCCCATCACCCTCTGCCAGGTTCTTCCCCAGGGGACCTTTTGGGGGCCCATGTTGTGGATCCATTCCAAAAACCGTTATCCTCGGGTTGCCCCAGGACTTCGACATCTCCTGATTCCCGGTTGAGGATGATCGGCAGACGATACTTGAAATTTGTGGAGTCTATCCCATTCTTTGGTAATCGAAATATTTCAGTACCCCGGCAAATTTCCACATGTGTGACCTGGAATTCAGCATCAAGTTGCGAGACCCTCCTAAAAATATCACCCCCTGACTCACAAACAACACTTCCAACCCTAGGGGCCTGCCTGTGAGCAAGCTTGAACACTTCCTTCCAAGTCATTGCTGGCCCATACCAGGGACCTGACGGAACATGGGAAAGACTTTCATCTTCCCCGGGTCTTGGACCCTGTTTGTATGAATACCTGCGCCGCTTGACAATTTCATCAGCCCATTCATGCTGCTCTTCCGATTCTACTCCAAAACATGGAACACACAGCTCGTCAAAAACAACAGGGAGTTCACCAACCGACTTGCTCAACATCAAACCATAACTAACATTTTTCGAAAACCCTCTGGAGTATTTGGCAGCAAAGGCAGACAAGTTCTGCCACCTTCCGGAACTTTTGGCTTGTCCCAAGATGGGATCATGCTGGTGATTTTGCCTGCAGTATCGCGCATCCAGCATCGAGTGAAACTCCTTTGAGGTCGTGAGCACCACTGTTCTTTTTCGCAGATAGTTAAGTTATTTCCATTGGGAATCCTCAATTCACCTACTTCACACATGTCAAAAACGGTACGGTAGGTCCCAGAAACAACATCATCCAACTCTTTTTGAACCAACGCTTCAGAACCCTGAGATTGTTCCAAATGAAAATGTCGACCTAAAGATACTTGATGCCAATAAAGCTCACAACAAAGTGTTAAATGAACTCGCTCATGATCCCTACCTGCTTGTATGTTGGCTGCTGTAGCTGGACTTCTTCCACTGTTCGGCATTCAGGCATTCAGGCGCTACCCAAATGTTTCGTGGTTGCTCATCCTCAATCATTTGCCACAGCTTCTCTCGACCAGATGCGGTGCTGAGCTCGCCATCCTCCTTGGTAAATCTCTTGGCCTTCAAACCCATGTTGTTGAGGACATTGGTTGAGTTTGAATCAGGTTCACAATAGATTTCCAAGAGATCCAACCTGCAGCCTTTTCTCAGCTCGTAGTGTCTGACGTGTTCGAACTGCGTCAGATGTGTGGGACACCAGTTTGGCCACCTCCTGCTCGAGCTTTGTGGATATTTTCTCCAAATGACAAATGACTTCATGAGTCATTGAACTAACTTGAGACTTGTTCGACGAACCCTCAAGCATGGAGTCTTTGTGTCCACACCCCACCTGATCCACCTTTGAATTTGTCGCTGAATCTCTCACTGCTTGGTGTTCTTGGTGACCCTGGCCAGCTGGTCTTGTAGTAGAGCGATCTGGAGGCGAAGCTGACTCACGAGCTCCGGGCTGACCTCCGCATTCATATTCTCCTCCCATCGACATCCGTCGCTTGCCTGCCTGTGCGGCAGCCTTTGGTTTGGCCCCCAAAGGGTGGACCGGAATCTGGTTGCCCTCCTCCTCCACAAAGATCAACTCGTCCTCTTCCTCGGGACTCCAGTCCTTCACCTCCATCTTCTTCGGACGGGCCACTGCTTTTGGAGCAGCTCCGACGGTCACATTGTTGACCCCGGCTCTGATCCCAGGCCTTAATGACAAAGTTCTGAAAAGACAGAGCCCAATCGCTGGCCAGCTTGAAGGTCTTGTTCTTGTGCTTTCCCTCGGCCATGGTCATCGAACCCCATTGCCTCAGGCTGTGTACTCCAGGCGGCCTGCCAATGTCCTCTTCGATCTTCACCGTCATATACGTCATCTCCGGATCCTCCGGGAATGGAAGAGGTTGATCCAAAGCTGCTTGGTAGCCCTGCTTGGTCGCCATGAGACACCACCGAAGTCAAAGCTGATGATCGCTGCACACATTCTCGAAAAGGGCGTTGAGCCACTTTGGCTATGAAACTCGTATTCTCGGACTGCTGCAGCTGTGTTGTTTCTGTTGTGACATTAGTGACTACTTCCAAATTCTGACAAGTGTGCTCACGATTAAATGCGATGATCACTTCCGCCAGTTGAGCAACAAACAGACCCTTGCTATTGCTTTTTAAGGGGACCACACTGCCTAGTTGATTCAGGCGGAGAAGTGATTTTCTGGTGCAAACATCGGCATCGATCGCACGGAGACATGAATTGGACAACAGAAAAGGAGTGTCACCTTCAACCACCTCGATCCTCATCCACCTACTTCCAAATGGCAGATACAGTGCACCAACACTCGGAAGAATTGCATCGTTCCCAAACCGAAAAACTGTTTCCGATTTCTTCCAATTCATTTTCTTTTGAACCTCAATCGGCATGCTTTGAATCAGCGTTTTCACCTTTTTCTGACCGATCACTGTTTTGCTGGCACCTGTATCTATGATTCCAGGGCACTCAAACTTGCTAGGAAAATTCTCAACCCAATCACCATCAACTTTCCTGGACATGGCCCCCATCAAAGCACTTCCCAAACAGTGACCATTGACTTTTTGTCGTGTCATGGTGCAAACAAAAGCTGATTCAATGAATTCTTCGTTAACTTCAGAATTGAAAACAATTCCCAAGGGTGAGCATGTGATGCTTTCCCGGTCCTGGCTGTGCATGTTCAGGAACAAGTCGGCAATGGTCTCGGATCCTTGCACTCCATCGGGAAGCGTGTCGACGATCTCCATGTCATTCGATGAGAACATCACATCCTCGGCGACGTTCACCTCCTCCTTGTTTCCACTGGCATCCTTTGCCGGGCCTTCCCATTTCCAGTGCCCTCGTTGTCCGCAACGCCTGCAATTTGAGGCTGCTATGCGTTCAGCAAGAGAATCCTTCCTTCGGAAGCCCTTGCCCCCATAATAACGACCTCCTTTTCGGCCTCCTTTTCCATGACCTTTCGGCCCAGTCGACGGCCAGAAGCCTCGATGTCGCAGACGATCTCTGATTTTTGCCCTCGCCTCTGCATAGGCACTGTAGCAAGTTGCTAGATCTTGATTTTCCTGACAAACTTCAATCAACTGATCTTCAAAATCTCGGATCATTTGTGCCTCTTTGTTACCCTGCTCAGCCAGGTATCCATAGGCTCGGCCTCCATGGCCGCATTCATCTCCTCCGGCTCGTCTTCAACAAAGTTGACCGGATAGACTCGTTTCTTGCCATCCGATTGTCCAACCAAAACCTTTATCGAGAGTTGTCCCATTGCCCTCTCCACCTTGCCAGGTTCCAGCGGACTACCCACCATGGTCAACACCCGCTTTTTGTCCTCGGTTGAAAGGGAGGCCTGTCTGAGCATGATGAAGGCCCGGATGTCCTACACTAAAGTCTCACCCAGCTCATGGAAAGAAACGCTCATCCTGTTGACAAAGCTCTGCGTTGTCTCATCAGACCGCTGGGTTGTACGGTAGAGAGCCTTTTCGAATTTGTCATACAGTTGCATCTCTTCTGCCTCCTCCCATGTTGAGATGGCTTGCAACAGCACAGTCACTCCGTTTTCTCCATCGGTCAATTTTTCAGTACTCAAAGCCCTAACTTGTGCCCACGCTGTGCCCTTCATGAGCATGGCAGGTCTCGGCGCCAGCATCGGCTTGTCCTTCTTCGGGCAGATGCTGTGCAAGAATTTGATTTTATCTCTGTATTATTTGGGATCATCAGCTTGCGGATCAAAACTCGGTAAGATCCACCACAAATAGCTTTTGTCACCATCACCAGAGGATGACCCTGATGCGACATTGCAGCTGCGAGTGGACACGCCCCGTGTCCGGAAAAAGAAGACTTTGTCACCTATGACAAAGAAAAATGCTTTGTTGGGAGGCCCTGTCTGACCCAAGTTGAATGAAGCCTTGCCAGCCTGCCACTGACCTAGTGACAATTAGAGGGAGCCTAGTACCCCTTAAATACCCCAAAAGATGGCCTATTATGCGTGAGCCAGGGGTCGGCTCCGCTACCAATGCGTAAGTCAGTCCCTCTGACCTAAAGACTTTTCCACCTGCCGCTTGCCAGTTGACTCCTCATCCCAGCCCACCCTTGTGCATGGAGTACTTGGTCAAATGGCCTCAGCGAGCACCTCTCTGGCATGTAGTGCCCTGACCAATGCCAATATATGAGCAGGTGCAGAATGTTCGGAGTGAATGCCTCCTTTGGCATCATCTTCTCCACCCTTGTGAGGGTAGCTGTCAGGCTTGCAGGGCGCGTCTGCATTTGTTATGCCTGTTGTTCCACTCTACCTGCCGGTGAAGAGCCTCGGCAGGACCTACAAGGTTCAATGGATGCAGGTTTTGGGAAAAGCTGATGCTGCAGGACGGCATGACCAGGGAAAACTAGGAAGTTTCAGAATATATATATATATATGTATATATACATACATATATATATATATATATACATGACATCTCCCAGAGACATCCCCAGTGACCCCCACCTTCTTAGGCCAGGCTTCCAGGGGAATGGGGGCAGGGCAACTCAGCTTCCGACCTGTTGAGATCTACCCTCTTGTTATTGGGAAAATGCTGGTAAACCATAGGAAAACCATAGGAAAACCACAGGAAAATGGTGATTGAATGGCTCAACAATCGTGAATTTCATGGGATGATATGGTAAACTACCCTCTGTTTATTTGACATAGCCATGGAAAATCCCTTATAAATGCAGGTTTATAGCTGGGAAAATCATCTATAAATGGACCATTTTCCATGGCTATGTTAAAATGCCAGATGGTAAATGTGACATGGGTATGTCTGAAAATGCTTCGTATACCCATGAATACCATGGCCAAAAATTGGGAGAATGCTGAAAAAATACCAAATGGATTTAGAGGTTTTTCCCTCAAATGTTCAGACAAAGCGACATGGCAATCTGGAAAATAGCCCTATCCAAGTTCAGAAAATCATCGTTCAGACTCCATATCAGATTTAGGGAGGCGGTTGGAATTTCCATGGACCTTCTGTATGGTTCATGGGGATTCCGATTTCATTCCCCAGTATTTAAAGGTTACAATACAACCCAAAAAAATAAACATGTCAACCGTGTCAACCAACTCCAGGGTCAGTTGAAACTGCTGAATCCAATTCTCCAATTCCTCCCCTGTTCACGCTCAATTCTCCCATATGAGCCCTCTGCACTTAAATCCTACCCTCTGGTAAACATACAAAAAACGATGGAAAATCACCATGTTTCATGGGAAAATCAACTATAAATGGTCATTTTCAATAGCAAACTGTTAGTTTACCAGAGGGTATATCAAACCATGCCTTTTGAAGGCATTTCTCGCGCACCTGCAGCATTCCAATCGCCAAAGAGACGGCTCCTTCAAAGAGACGTGGCTTAGAGGATGATACCGAGATGGAATGGACATATAACCGCTATGGGAGGAATGGGAATATGGACTGAATGGAAATACCATGGGTTTTATGGAAATCATTGGTTCAAAAGATAGTAGTTTATAATTAATGGCATCATTGCTTTAGCATCCCAGGATTGCCATTACTGTAATCTTCTTTGTTTGGTATAGTGAAGTTGGTTTATAAGTTATAAGTAGATTTACTCGGGTTTATGATATATCGATAGTCAAGTGAGTTTATAAACGAATCTATAAACGGGGGGGCACCAAAAATGTCATTTGCCAAATCCTACGCGATCATCCATCTCTCAGTATGACCCTCCATATTGCAAACCCATTATAACTAACCCATCCAAATATCACCCAAGTTATGTGTTGGGGCCAATTGTAATGAGTTCAATGATTTATCCACGTCTATGATTTTGTATGAATCTAGCATTTCTCAGTATGTCCACCCGTTGTAATCAATGAATTCATGACCAAATCTAAATGTGCCATGGTCAAAAATGTGCCAAAAAAGATCTGGGATGGTCATCCCACCAGCAGTGCCAATTCCTCACAATGGGTCTAGTAATCCCTACAGCAGATATTTGGGGATCAGCATCCCCAAATTGATTGGGAAATAAGCAACTTGACCGGAAGCCCACATGATGATACATCTGGATCTTACAGAACCAACTTATCCCTTCCCTCCAATAATAGCTGATTGGTTTAGTTGATGAATCTTTGTATCGTCTATATCTATCTGATATTTTCCGGGCGTTCAATCTATAATAATCTATACTAGATATGAAGTTAGAACTATTCTAACTATTCTAAACATCATTCTCCATGTTCTTTACTAGTTGACATATCTATACCATCCAACATTCACCAAACACGACCTCAAACGGTATCCAAACGTTGGGCCGCTCCTCGCTTCCGCTTTGCTGAGCACGGGTTCAGACTTCACCCGAGGAAGCGGCGCGACGACGACCTGCTGCGCAGCTGCGCCACGGGAGGTCGCGAAATCATGTGTCCTGATAATGATGATTGTCTGGTGTTGTCATTATTCTGTTTATCATTTGTTTATCATAACTATGATGATTATGATGAGCGTCTTATCATGATCATGATTTTAATGATCTCAGTGATACTGATACTTGATGAAGATGAAAGACTCCAGAATTCAAACAAGCTTCGGAAACCACATCGGAAACCACGAGCCATTTCCCCAGCACCAACCTGCCGCTGCTGCGCTTGCCATCGTGATGCCTCGCGCCGCGATGGCATCAGCGGCGGAGGTCCGGACTTGATACTCCTCAGCGGGACCCAAAATGGCAACCGGGTGTACTTCATATCGCATAGTAATTATACCAGTTGGAAGCATAAATATAATGTATTATAAAGAATATATTGTAATGTTGGAAGCTAGAATACATATAAAATACTATAATAAAGAATATAGTGTATAAATACTTTATAATAAATACATATAAATACTATATCTATATATATATATCGAATAGTGTTTGGCGCCATGTTCAATCTTCAAGTCTGAATTAGCTGTGAGCAAACATTAATTCCGTCTTTCCTTTCTAGATAATAAACAATTAATTAAAAAAGTAAACAAGCAAACATTTCGACTAAGTTCCAGTCTTAGCACGATTTGCAAGTGCCCGTAGTTCCTTCTGTTGGTGTCTAAAACGAAGAATTGGAGTTTGCTGATAAGATCGGTGGGGACTAACGGGATGTTTACAATTGCTGGAGTTTTCTTGTTCGTTGTTGGGTTTCTATCCTCAAATCTTGGTGAGTTGGTTTTCTGCGAAAAGATTTGCATCGCAAGGTACTGCGAAAATGGCCATGTGTAAAAGCCATGGCCAAGTGGGTTTCAGTGGGTTTTTCTCATCTTTCATGATGGGGTTCTCCCTTCTGCTGGCGAAGTCATTCCTGGTTCCTGGAATCTCCGACTCAGCCGAAGTTCCACTTGGGGCCCTGGGTCAAGACCTGGTGCCCGAAACAGCACCGAAACAGCTGAGATTTAGGGACGTGTCATCGCCAAAAATATACAGAGGGGACTGCGGGAGTGCAACTTTCTGCATATGACTTAGTTTTTAGTTTAATGATCTCATTTCTTTCTGGTCACAAACCATATATATATAGTATATATAGATATATTTTCTTCATTGGCAAAACCATTAAACACAATCAATTTCTTCAATGTTGTCTGCACTTTGCTCTTCTGCTTTGGCATCAAAAAACCAATAAAAAAAAGCACGCCCACAGTCCCCCGCTCTCAAAATATACCCATTTCGGCAATGTGCTACCCGCGTTCCTGGGGGCACCATGAAATCCCAAACCGTCTGGTCCAAGTTTCGGTAACTTCATCGTCAGAACGTCCGCATGTTGATGGCACATGGGAACCCTGGCGTAGAATACCGACGTAACAGTGACATGGTAAAGGTTAGGAAACACAGAGCCACAGCCAAAACTGAAACCGGCGCCTGATGCAGTTGCCACAGAAGCAATGCCGCGGTCCAAGCAGCGGCAGATCTTCCTTTCATCGATGGTGGAATGATGTTGGAGCGATCACGGACCATCTAAAAATCCTCTGACAAACTTGAAGGGGATCTTCTCAATGGAATTCCCCAGGGAATTTCAGGAGTGAGGGTACTGCAAGTGGCCAGTTGCGTTTGGACTGGGAACTGACCTATTTTTTGCCCCCGTCCTGGACTTGAACCGTTCGAGCCCCTGGATCTCTGCTCGCCAGCCTAGCTAGCGGCGTCGGCATGTTTCCCAATGCCATAAACCTGCCATGTGTGGATGATTTATAGCACCCATTCATGGTAAAAATTGGGGATGGTTGATGATTGGGTTGCCCACATTAGTTCCCGAATCATCTTTTTCTATTGAACTGTTCTTTGATGTTCTTTGTTTCTGGTATTAGGGATGGATAGTTCCCTTAAAAGAGCCCTCTGAAAATTCCCATGGAATTTTCCAGGAGGTCTCCGTCTTTTTTGGTGACCTTTGAGGGATTCGCGGTTTCCGGATGCTGCTTTTTGGGGAACTTCCCCAAATTCGTTCGCCTCAGAAGCTGCAAAGTTGAAGGCTTCAATTTCCTCTCTCCAGCTTCGGCCAGGATGTGATTTAAGGATCCTGGCAGGAGGCGGGAGGTGCCGGGGCAGCCTGGTCTTCAGGGTCCATGTGGTGGATTTTTAGAAATCCAATGTGCACCCAGCAAAACGCCACCCTTGCGCCAAAAAGCTATAGAGAGTGAGAAGGTCGAAGGCTAATGTGGTAAACAAATATACATGTGTACATATACCACCGTGGAATATACATATTAGTGATATCCAATACTGTACCCCCGGTGCCTTCATAGCTCAGAGTAATCCTACCAAATCAGGTGTCTGTCTAAACAACGCAATCCCCAAATAGACAGAAAAGTCTGGAACCTGGCAATTATGGAGGAAACGTGATCTGTAACATCCTGTAGCATCCTGGAAAATACTTTCCACAGAAACTGTTCGGGGACCAATTTTTGACATCACCCAACCAAAAAGGGCATATCATCTCGACCACTAGAATATGTTGGTGATCTTCAAAATCTCAAAAAAGAAAAGACCAACGAATTTCCAACCGTTGAAATTTGGGTTTACCATACTTCATAGCAGGGATGAAGTATGAATCTCGCTCACAGGCACGCAGATCGCCTTCTGAGACAGCACGAGCCAGTGATTCACCATCCTCGGATGAGTGCAGCAACCATTCTCAAAAGAATGGGAGGACACAATTTTGAAGCGTAGCAGTCTACACCATATGGTATGTGTGTATGTAGATATATATATATATATGTATTATATATATATAATCTCTTTATATATATCATATATAATCTAATATATATATATATCATATATAATCTAATTATATATATATATGTTGTTTTATGAGTTTCATAGTTGTTTGGTTTCATATTCTCATACTTTCCCAACACCTGGCTACGGCCCCTTGCTGCCCAGCAACAGTGATGGACACCTTTTGCAGCTTTTGGTAGACCTGCCGAGAAGGTGACAGCGAAAACAGCGATACCCACTGGTTATTTAAGAGTTTGCTAGGGAAAATGGCTCGTGAAAAGATGATTTATGATGATTTACCTTTCAAGAATGGTGACTTTCTACAGCTATGTTGAATAACCAGAGGGTATATCCTTCACCAATTTTTCGAAAAAGGATAGGGATTCAGGGATTTTCCACGGCAACCAACCACTCAACCGGACTGAACCAAGAAGTGTAATCGAGAGCTGGGAAGGGTCAATACCTATGCCGGGATGAACATTCATTTGCAAGGGATGTCACCGCTTGTCACCATGGACTATGACCAGGTATGACCAGGGTGATCCCTTGGACCTCATTGGGACTATCTCACTACTATTTTTTTTTTATTTTCAAGAAAAAAGTGAAGGCATCACTATCTCAATCAACGACAATCAACAATACCAGGAAAATCATCTGTAGATTGATTTTCATTCATTGAGATGATCATTTATTCTTAGTAACTGGATTACAATAATCGGTAAAAAAAAACTGATTTTTCCATATGTCTTTTTAGTTCACCTTTCGCTTTCTGCCCTAGCACCTTCAAGAGATCTTTGGTGCTCCAGCCAGGCTTGGCTTTTTGAAGCACCGAATACCTCGATCTGCGAATCTGGGACGATCGTTCAGGTGGGCCATGGGTGTCGTGCTGCCGGAAGTTGCCGGGTAAAGCCACCGCATCAAAAATAACCCGTGAGTTATGAATGGGATATAGCCGCAGCAATATATGATATCATATAGACATATATACAGTGTGTATATATAATGTATACATACATATATATATATACACATAATATACATAAATATAACATTTATATATATATATACATACATACATACATACATACATACATACATACATACATACATATGTGTATATACATACATAAATATATATATACAATATGCATATAATGGATACAGGTGATCAACAACTTACGATGTAGCCCGAAGTAACCACCTCAAACTGCCAAGTTACAGCGTGCCCGTGGGCGGAGGTTGGACCCGGAACGCCATGGGACCAAATCTCTCAACCCATGACCCGCGACACCAAAACAAGAGGCCGTTGAGTTGACATGTCGGAGAAACACACGAAAAATACTGATTTATCTATTGATACGCGTACAAACGAAGTATCTAGAATCGATTGACCTAAATAATTGATTCATCTATTGATACTGCTGATTTATCTATTGATATTGTTTTATCGAATAATCTATTGACTTGTTCTTTATGACTTCATGACCTTTAACAACTTTAACAGATCAAACATTTAGTTGTTCCAACTTGTCTTGGCAGGAGTCGGGATACATCATGAACCGCGGCCCGGTAAGGAAGGCTTTGTTCCCTGCAGCCAAACATGTTAAGCCAGCAGAATGAACACCGAGCCTCTGGGTGTGATCTTGGTGAAACGCGGATTACATTAATATGGGTGTTTTCCTAAAAATGGTTTTTTTCCCAATCTCAGTTTTCAGAAAGTGATCATATGTTTCACCATTTTTTATCTTGGGGGTAATCATTAATCCCATTCCATTCGGGATTCCAAAGGATTCCCCATGGCGCCAATGGCTATCGATGCCTCAAAAACCACCGATGATTTTTATGTCATCCCGATAATAAGCAAGGCGTCATCATTCTGCACCCGAATCCAAGCATCCAAGCCTCTTCAAGTCTCCCATCAAAGATCTTGTATATATCCATCTATATATATATATCAAAAAACAAACGTTCAACAGCTCACTTATTTTTCTTGAATATCTTTTTCATCAAAAAAATCCTAAGAACTTCCCCCAAAGTCGTCCCCCTCGGCACGACGACGGCACTTGGGTGGATCCAAACAGCGTCGCAGCCGTCCGATGCGCTCGCAGCTGCCGCCGAAGACTTGGTCCTGGATGTTTTTTATGGGGGTACCATTTGGTTATGACTATAGCCATGGAAAATCACCATGCTATAAGAGGTAAACCCAGGTAAACCATCTATTTCTATGGGCCATCTATACCATGGCTATGTTAAATCACCAGAGGGTATTTCATGGGTGAATCATGATGATTTTTACAATGGTGGCTGAAGACAGGATGTCACCAATAAGAATTGGGGTTGAATGAATGCCGGGTAGAAGATGTAAGAATGGAATAATGAGGATATAATCGTAATGTATATATAATATATATATATATATATCATATTTTTTTATATATCTGTAACCTGTATCTGTGACCAAAATATGATGTTTTCATCTTTGGGTGGGTCTAAAATGGTGGGATGTTTGGTTGTTCATGGGGAAAATGATGAAGTCTTCGAAGTGGAACAACCATATCAAATGGTGCATTCACACCTACGGATGAAAATTCGAACATGAAAATCCGGGTTGTTCGAAAATGTTAGACTCAAGTTCTGCCTACAGATTGGCGTGTCAAATAGAACCCCCCCACAGATTTTGCTAGTCATCACATCCGTTTCAAACCCATTTTGGGTAGTTTATATCCGCATGTTTTGCTTGTTTATATTCCCATGTCGATAGGGGTGTGTCTGAAAATGGGGTACAACCCTGGTATATGGTCATTTTGATGGGGATATATACGGGTGATTAGCCAATGCACTAAGGTCTTTTCCCCTCAATTTCCAAACCAAAGCCATTGACCATTGTTGCTTATATATATTATATATCCTACCATATTCCATTGTCAAATCATATCACCATTGTATCCCAATGATATTCCCATTAAAATGGTCGGTGTGTCTCATAAAAGAGGATTCCCGCATTTCCTCTAGAGAAAGGATCCCCTTTCGAGGGGCCCAAGCACCACATCGGCTCCAGCTTTTCTTTCTCACCCTTCACCTAAGGCGGAGCTCGGAGCTCGAGGTAGGTCGAGTCTCTTGGGCAATCTTTCTAAACAGCTAAACAGCCGTGAAAATGATCAAAATGAGGTTTGACACTCCGAAAACTGGCCGGAATTGAGCAGCAAGAAATACAGCAACACCAGTGAAACCCCGGTTTTTGCAACTCCTGAACCATCAGTTAGGCCCCTAGTCTTCCAAATCGTGTTTCTTTGCCGTACTAAAAATCCAAGGGTACCAAGGATCATATTTTATCCCTAACGCCCACGAGCATGATCAGTCGGTTTTAGTCGGAAAGGGTGCCCAACAGAGTCTTGCCGTGTCGGCATAAAACTGATGGGTTGTCCAAACCAGTGGTTGCTCTCAGTTTATATCATATATCCCCATCTTTAGTTTTTGTCCAAGCTTCATCTAGGACATATTTGACGCGGAGGACCTCTGGTTCAGAAACAAATGGGACTAGACAATCCTCAGCTTCTATATGGAAGCCAAAAAAATGTGCCTGCAAAACGCAGTAAATCCCGTTCAACGATAGTTCTATCTCCAGTTAGAACTGGAACTGCACCTCCTCATCGCAAAAGTGGTTAGTAACCCTAGGAAGCCCCATAAGTAGGGTTATCCCATCTATGTATTCATAAATATGGCTTGACCACTGAAGTGGGATGATTCTCCAAATATAGATTATGATTGGATATATAGCTATAGATTATCATTGGATATATAGCTATAGATGTTTTTTTCAATGTTAACTAATCATAGATTTCTAAGATAACCTCTATAGTTAACTATAGTTACAGTATAACCTCACTAACCATCGTTAACCAGTACTAACCAATACCAACCGCTATTAACCATTAATCACCATTATCATCTATAGTTATAATCTATGGATTATCATTATAACTATAGATTATAACTACAGTCATTTATGCTATAGATAACCTAAGATACTCTAATGAAAGCCTAGTGTTACCTTTCATCCATAAATAATGGAGTTTATCATAGTTAACAATAGACTATAGTCCAATGATCTATAATCATATTATAAATCATCTAATGATTATCACTATAAATAAATATAAACTACATATCGTATGACTATAAATTCAAATATAATCACTATCATCATACTATTCGAGTTATAATCACAATAGTAATCATCACTATAATCATAGATTATATTTATATTATCACTGTTAGAGTAATAGTGAAATAGTGTCAATATATCATTATTATTTACAATTCATAATGTCAACCCTGGATTAATAAACCCCAAACGGTTGTTTAATTGGGAGGATACCATTTAAGTATCAAATCATGACTATTTGGGGAATACCCCCCTAAAAAAAATAAACCATGGTTTAGCAAAATCCAGGGTTGACATTAATCATAATCTATGACGTAAATAGATCATCGCTCCGGCTGGGCCCTGAGTTTCCCAAACGGCTTTCAGCAACAAATCTCTGGTGGCTTCCGCTGTGCTCAAGAGGTCGCGTTCCGCCCTCAGGCCGCGGCTGTTGGAAATTTCCTATGGAGTTCTTGGGAAAATCGTGGTTTAACCACAGGAAAATGGGGGATTTAATGGTGATTTAATGTGATTTAAATGATTTAATGGGATTGAATGGGATTTCATGGTGAGTTACTGGGATTTAGAACTAATTGACGTGGGACTTCTTGCGAAAATCGATCAATGGATGGGGGTTTTCCGAAGGGAAAATCTACAGTTGCAACCTGGTGATATGGCCCAAGCAGAGGTTTCTTGCAAATATTCCTTTCAATCAATTCTGAGAGAATTGACCCTTAATTTTGTTCAAAGGGCTAGAAAACCCAGCATTATTTAATACCCTCAGGTAATCAATCATGGCAATTGAAAATCCTCTATAAATTGCGTTTTCATGCGAAATCATCGTCAAATGGTGTATTAATCATCCTCATGCTATGCGATTTTCAAAGGCTGATTCATGGATTCCTTCCCAAGAGCCTCTGGTTCCCGCTTTTAACTTTGGAGCCCTCGGTTATTTGACCATCATGAATGGGATGCTTTAGAATGGTTGTATTGATCCCATTGAAATTGGAGGGATGCACGTATATTGGGGAGTATCACAAACAAATCTTGCAACAATGCCAATATGAACGAAAATGACGACAAGAAACATGTTGAGATGGAATCCAAAATGAGATCGGCAGATTAGTCACATCCTAACCATCGACTCCCGAAGAAGGGCACTGATATTCCCTGACCTACTAAACTGGGGAAATTCTCAAGGATTTGAAGATCTGGGAACCAACCACGCCAAGGAGATGATGTTTTTTGCACAGAAAAAATTGCCCAAAGATGAGTTATTCTAGAAAACGATCATTGCAAACATAGCTTTACTTAGGACATGATGGATTTCAATCGGACGTCTTTGTCTCTCAAGGTGAACCAGCAAAACTTGATCCATGGGGGACACCTGGAATATACCAATGAGGTAAACATGGTAAACATGTTCGGTAAAGCAATAGCAAAGCAGCCATGTTTTGATGGTGGCAATGATGTATGATATGTTTGGGGATGGTTTACTGTTGATTTACTTATACGAAGCCACCATACCAAGCCACCATAGTTCAAACACTCCATGCACTTGCAGAGGCCTTACCTATACCTTACGTATACCTTACAGCCGATACGGCAAATACAGGGACTCAGACCTTAGATAAATGCTGAATGCTGGGATTACCAAGTCAGCACGATCCAAAAACCACACTGTGAAAAATCGGGAGACATGTAATTGTTTAGACTAGACTGTTCAGAGTTGGATTTACCCTCTGGTTATGACTCACATAGCCATGGAAGCCATGGGCCTAATCGAAATAGATGGTTTACCGTTCTTAATAGCATGGTGGATCTTTCCATGGCAAACTGTGAATGTCATAACCAGATGGTACCAGGGCCTTCTCCACCAAGCTTCGCTCGACCCTTGACGGCGGAATCCAGGGTCGCTAGCTGACCTGCACCAAAATCGGGCTCTGGTGAAATCACCCATTTTTGAGGGCCCCTTCTGGCAATGATTTTCCAACAGCTTTGAGCAAGCCAAAAAAAAATGTGGAGCCAATGGAATGGATAGAAATGGGATGTGTTCTCCCCAGCAAACATGGGGAAATCGTTGGGAAACAACATCTAAGCCAGTGATCCAACTTCTAAGCTCCCACAGAATCATGGACCAGTGATGGACAGTGATAGACCAGTGGATCACTTTCTCAGGCCCGATCTCATCTGGACAACCCCGCCAGGAAATGTTGCGACGTTGCAGAATAAACCAATCCAACCAATCCAACGAAATAGTCTTTTGAGGTGCACTCTTTTCGTAGGTTGTTTGTTTCCTTTTATCGTTTTTGGGGCTACAACGCGGTGCCCCCTAGCTACTGTCAGGATTAGGAGGAAATGTTTTCAACTGTTCCAATTCTCGTTGGTGACAATCATATCAGCTCACCCAAAATACCGTCCAAGATACGCTCCACATTTTTCTCCAAGCGTACCACCAGGGTATCCACCTGGCGCGACATGCGTGGTGAGTTCATGGCGATGTGTGACTTTGTTGAACGTCTCTCAAAATGTTGGAATGTTCCCCCGTGTTGAACAATGACATTTTTGTGATAAGGATAAGTCGGAAAAGAACATGCAAGAACTAATCACCATGCAAGGACACAATCGGCGGTGTTCACATGGCTATGGAAGCCACGGCCCACTTGCCTAAAATGGTCATTTCTAAAAAGCAATTGGTGAAATTAAAAGAAGGTATCCTCAAACATGGGCTACCAAACGGTATAGAAATTGACCTATGAGTCTATTTGTCCATCGAGCTATAAAAAAACTGTACACTCATCGATGTATGCACACCTACCTAGCTACCTAACTACCTAGCTACCAAGCTACCTAGGTACCTGGCTACCTGGCTACCTAGCTACCTAGCTATCTAGGTATCTAGCTATCTAGTGCTTAGCTAGATATCCAGAAATCTATTTGTAAATTTCATTTATCTAAATTTATCTATATTTATGCAAAAATGCAAATCGATACAAATACACAAATATGCAAATATACAAATACACAAATATGCAAATATGACATAC